GTTAGGCAATTACCACATGCTTTCCTGCAGTGAAGCATCTGCTGTTATGATATGCAGGCATGAGTACCAGAAGGTGGCTACCATTGTTTGTAGGATTAAGGAAATGATTTGGATGAGGGCCATGGGCTTAGTCAGAGTAGTTCAGGATGATGGGAGCTGAATCTGCATTTAGTTTGTTTTTGTTTTGCACATCAGTAGGCAAAGCCTAGTGTTTGTTTGGCTTCGGTCATGTCCTTGGTTACAGTAGCGTGAATCTGCAAGTTAAAGATCAGACATTTACTAAAACTGAACCAAGGAAATTTGGATTTCATAGTTACGGTTGCAGGAAATGGTCATATTATGACTGAAATATATTTAAAATGTCTATTTAGTTCTGTTTTCAGATATAACCTTGTAAGTAGAAACATGTATAACTCAAACAACCATACATCTAGTTAATTTTGCACAGGCAGCAATGTTAAGTCTTACTACGAACCTAGCAATAAAAATGATGAAGCTCCTGTCAATTTTTCGAATAACTAGCTTGAGACAATATTCTCTCTTCTCTAATGGAAATGACAGAGCTCCTGTCAATTTTTTGAAAAATAGTTGTTTTTCAGACTCATCTATCTCAGACAAAATGAAGACTTGAATGGTAGTGAGAGAGCTGCAATTATTTAACTTCATATCTTGGCTTACATGCTTGTTCTTCCATAATGCAGTGAATATGTAAATCTGTACTAAACCATTGAGTTTTGCTGTGTTGAGCATACCTGCTTGTTGTTCATTCCTTATCCCCTTGTATGCAGGATCTATCTGGCCGACCTCATTTGAGCTGCGGCTTAAGTATTCCTACTGCATGGGTTTGCACATATGATACATAGGTATTGTGAAATTTCGCAGTTGTTTTTAGTTTTCTGCAATGTTGATTTGAAAAGCTTTCGATGTTCTGTTTATGTATGCCAGACTTAAGAAAGAATTTCATAGTCACATTTGACATATTCAGATCAAGTTTATCCCTCGGATTATGTTACATTCAACTCTTCCTCTCTCCAGTGAATAAATTTTGACATATCTTAACAAGACTTTTTTGTCATCTTTTAGCTAGTGTGATGAGATTTTGGCACCTGTACATTCCTTGTACCAACTTAGGCAAATAATAATTTATTTGTTTTTGTGACAGTTGATTGAGCACATCTTCTAGACTCTTGTGAATACATCTGGGACAATGGTTCACATCAGTCAGGTATATACTGCTTCCGTTTCGAGTGAAATCCTCTCCCATAGCCCCTGCCCCAGATGAAATGAGCTATATATGTGTATGATGATCCTCCTTTCCTAAAAGTGAGATTGCCATATGTAGTTCAGAATTGACCTATCATGCTTAATTTACACAGCATCTAATCATGAGCTTACGAAGCTGCTGTTTTGGAGTTGTGTGCCGCAATATGAGTAGTAAATTTGTGAACCTGCTATGTAATGTTTAGGTTCCAGCAAGGAAATTTGTGCGCCGCTATCCTGAACCTCCTCTGCTTTCTCTGAAACAGGGTTGCCATGTGAAGAAAAAGGATATGTGGGAGCTTTTGAATGGACAAAGGCTTAAGCAAGGAAGAGAAGACAGCTGCATTTCCTTACTTGCAATTCTAGTAACTATCTTTGTTATAACTTGCAGAGTGTACCTGCAAAAGAAAACTTGTAGAGTGTGATGGATTAATTAGGATGCTATGTAATCAGAGTACGTACCCTATCATATGTATCATGACTGATTGCGACCAGGGTCTGCATTCTATGAAGAAGGCACCCATTTATATGTTTATTAGTGACATTGTGTTGTGCTTGCTCTACTACTTCTGTACATTATTTGTGGAATTGGTCTTGTTGTTCACCATTGCTGAAAATCTGTTTCAGTTAGCGTGCCCTTATGTAGCACTATTTCAAATGGAGTTGGTCGAGTCCTCCTGCTCATTTTTTATGCCAACGAACATTGTTGTCGCCTGAAATGCTTGTACAGAAGGAGCATTGGAGACTACATGTTTGGGGCTATCCTAAGCTTATTGATAGGTGATCATTTTAGTACTGGCTTGTCATGTACTGACCCTGAACTCTGAAACTGATTCAACCAATGTGCTATCTGATTGGTTATACCCAGGTACATGTACAACTATATGATGGAAAATATGCATTTTGACAAATTGTACCCAAAATGTTAGCTAATACTCTTTACTTGTCTCATGAAATGTGCCTGTGCAAATTTGCATCCTATCAGCTCCCAAATGTTTAACTGGAAGGACTGATTCTGTAGTTCTATTTTGGTAGAAACTTGATTGATTCATTCCTGTATAAACATCTAAAGGAAAGGAAATCCAAAATGTAGTGACATTCTTAGTAAAACTGGTCGTTTAATTGACGTTATGAACATAACACTGGTTTGGACTAGTGCGGCATATGCAATACAAAAATAGTAAAAGCCACAATTTAGTGTGCGGGCATCAAAGGAACATTTCATCTAAAAATTGAGTAACAACTCAAAGTTGAAAGCCTATTATTGTAAACATAGTCTCACAATTGTCACTTGAATGAAAACTGATTGTTGGTTCGAAAATAATGTAAACACTACTTGGGACAATAATCCAGCTCTAAAGCTTGAACTTGTAGTGGGACAGCCCACCTGGCCGTCGCCATGTCAATGTAGTTTTGGGTTCGGACTACCCATACTAGTGGTAGTAGTAAAATTAGAGGACACATTGTGCTACTGATGCGTCCGCATGATCATACTCGTCGGGGCCCACTAGTACCGATCTTAGTCCTTCGGACCCACTATGATCATAAGAGGAGCCATACTACTAGTACAGGCATCACACGTCCCGTACCACTAATCAGGGTCTCGGTACTAGATGACCGGTAGTCGGGGTCGAGATGAGGAGCACTTGAAGGAACCTAGATTATGGCTCCTCCGTTATGTTACCGTGTACTCCCTCCGTTCCTAAATATAAGTCTTTTTAGAGATTCCAATATAGACCTAAATTATGTGGTTCTCTATATGTATGATCTTGTTCCTTGTGTTCTTCTGTCATTTGACAATGAGCAGATATTAATCTACAGAGGCAGTGAATGGAACTCTAGATACTCAGCTTTTGACTCTCACTCGAAAAGTTCAAAAGAATAATCTGGCAATGTCATCTGCTTTGAGTAGCTCAGGTATCATCTTTAATGTTCAGAATGATCCATACACAAGGCAGCAGTAGGAAACAAATATGCTTACATCAATACCACAGTGCATTTTTTTATTTAAAAAACTGTGCAATTTCAGGATGGGTGGTTAGAAGAGATGGAAGGAAAGGCGCAAGAACATGATAAGAAGGATGTTGCACAACAAGAGAAGATAAAGGAGCTCCAGATTGCTGTAGATAAGATTATCAGTTTTTACTGGTGGCTGTTAGAAGCTATAGACAAGATGATGCATTTTTATTAGATTCAAGTGAGATTATTCAGATTAGCATAAAAAGTGTAGAGGATCGTGCAAAGCTTTGTTATCATTTGATTATTTCACTATATATTTTGTTCAGTTTCGATGTAAGCATCAGGCCTTAATAGGAAACTCAATTTGATTTACTTGGCCATGATCAACGAACACAAATATTACAGAAGATCACCAAATGAATGAGAACTTGACAACATAGAACGAATCAAGAGAAGTATACATACAAAATTAGCTCCTACCTTGGGAGAAGTCGTCACAAATAGATCGCGGACACAAGTTTGTAGATAGAAGCTCATATTTAGTACCCCTCCGTTCATAAATAGAAGTTAGAAACATCTTATAAACGGATGGAGCAGACACAAATATAAGTTTGAAACATCTTATAAATGGATGGAGCAGACACAAATATAAGTTAGAAACATCTTATAATTGTGAACCAATGGAGCAGAGGGAGTAGTACACAAGACTTGACACAATCTGAAATGAAATAAAGATACATTCAAACAATTAAATCTGAAAATCTCCAGTATGCCCCCTGCAAACCCATGACCTCCATCTTGAGGAGGGGCTAGTGCCATCAACCATACCATTCCAGAAACTGAAGTTGTGACAACGTGTGGTGCGGTGATCCTCTAGCTAGTTTTACTATAACAGAGTTCTGCTTACTAACTAGATCAGCAATGTACAAACATATGCTAAACTTGCTCATTGACAAAATAGGTTGTGCATGCTTCTTCTGTTCCATACTAAAGGTGATTGCCATATTTGTCAAGGATGATTATGGCTGAGGTATGGTAATGCACTTATAGCAACGCGTGCAAAGCGGGCAAGAAATTCATATAAAGCAGGCATTGTTCCAAATTGAGCCAATTCTGGTTTTCAAAGATATACTATACATAATTACTGTCCATTTTATATGGCACCATACACTGCCTAAATAATCAGAACATGTTTGAGGCGCGGGTCATGTACGTCTTGAGCTCCCGATTCACCTTCTCCTCGTCCCACATGAACCCCTGGAGATTCTGCACCCACTCGAAGTAGCTCACCATCACTCCGCCGGAGTTGGCCAGTATGTCCGGTAGGATCAGCACGCCCTTCTTTGCCAGAATCTGCAGCGCGAACATGTACACTTCTCTACTGTCAGTCAATGTGTGAAATGTGTCAACAAATGCAGCTTAGTTTTGTGCCAAAACATTGGTGTTCTTGCCTCTTCGGCCTTGGGGTCTGTTGGGTGGTTAGCAGCTTTGATGATGTACTTTGCTTTGATGGCATCAACATTGTCCCTAGGAGAAGAAGAAAATCGAAAGGACTATTTATTAACAAAAATGTTTTAAGATATAGAAGAAAAAATAACAGCCAGGAGGATACTCTAACTGAGCTTCAGAGCATTAATCTCATAGAAGATAGGATGAAGTGAGCTTGGACGAGGAAGAAGAAGATTACTTGTTTATGACTCCTGCCAGAGCTGCCGGGATGAGCATGTCGCACTCTTCCGTGAGCAGTGAGGTCGGGTCGACGGCGTCGCCTTTTGTCGGAGCCCTTGATCCCGCGGTTCTTTGCCGAGTGCTTCATCAGCTTGGCTATGTCAACGCCATTGGAGTTCTTGACAGCCCCTGTGACATCTCTGATGGAGACCACCTTGCCACCAGCTTCAGTTATCAATTGGGCAGCCCAAGAGCCAACATTGCCAAATACCTGAAAAAGGCAAGAAGACAATAATTGCTCATCTGTGCAAATGTAGGTGAAGAAACATAGTTCTGGCCTTGCTCCACAATGTATGGCGCCATTCTACACAACGATGATTACTAGCATTGTGTAGGCATGCTTGTATATATTTGGCAGAATATATTACTTGTGGGTGCTCATTGTTTGCTCCTTTCCCCTTTAATTTCAGCGCGTGAGGTGGGAGATTAGAAAGCTACTGACATATCAGGCACAGAACTTTGAAATTGCCATTGATGGTGTCTCCATTGTAAGCCTAAGCTTTGACAAGATGCTTGTCTCTAAATTATAAATGGGGAACACCTTAGGTTTTGTGTGAAAATAAAGAGATTGACAAAATTTTCTCTGGCATTTTAAATGCGCAAAAGACCAAAGAAAAAGCAAATAATCTTAGTGAGTTCAGATAAAACAGAGAATTACCTTAAGAAGAGTTCAATTGCAATATCTTGAGATTACACTAAAATTTAAAGCTGGATGGTCAGTCTAGTCGCAGAACAACAACCATCTACTAACCAATTGCAATACTTTTACAGTTTCCAACTACTAACCAGAACTGAAGAACAATGGAAGCCGTGAACTTACAAGGAATAAGGTAGAGTAAGACTGTAAGAGATATGGACCTGTAGACGGTGCTGCGCCGGGCTCTCCACAGATCCGGCCTGGATTACGCCAGCAGCAGCGTGATCCGGCAAGGAGTGCCTCTCGGACGCCCATTCGTCCAATTTTCCAAAAGGCCGTGCGCTCGATCTAGCTCTTGACAGCGAGGAACCACGGCTGCATCAGACATCGGTCCTAGAGCCCCTGGGACCCCTCCGCTGCCGCCGCCGGGGTCATCGGCTCCGCCTCCTCGTCCCATCGGCCATCATCACCGACCCCCTCTGCCGCCGCCACCGCCGGGGTCATCGGCTCCGCCTCCTCGTCCCAGCGGCCATCCTCGCGGCCCCCCTCTGCTGCTGCCACTGCCACCGCCGGGGTCACCGGCGGCTCCGCCCTATCCTACCCTGCTGCTTCGAACTGATAGGGCTCGAACAAGTTTTCTACGGGAAGAGTGGACATGATTTGGCCTTGACTAAAATTGGAATCAGGAACGACCCAGATGTGTCGGGCCACACAGTGAGGGTGTGAATATGATTTGGCCTTGACTAAAATTGGACAGAACTACCCTTTTATAAAATGACTAGCCCCACCCTAGTTTTGTAATGGTCCCACCACTATTTTTAATTTCATGTAATTTTAGTCTCATAACTCCTCGTAACTCTAGTTTCTCCACCGTTTGATCGCAGTGGATGGACGGCCCGTAGAATCGCCAATCACTCCATTTTCTCTCCTATCTCTACAAAATATTAGTCAGAACAAAATAGGAAACTTAGAACGCAGGACATGTTCTACTTGTAATGAATACAGTACATGCTTTGGACGATCTGATGGATACCATATTTAAGAAATAACAGTCTAACAAACCATCTGTACGGAAAAATGCACATAGCCATGAGGGAAAAACATCCGAAGGTCTAACTTTTATGAGGCATGCATTCTATACATACATGATCCCCAGTTCCGTCCATAAACTTCTACAGAGATATAAACTTACATAAATTGAGGAGCGTCGAGTACAGCCATAAGTGTCAAACACATCAACAGACTTGGATTATGCCATCGCGGGCACAAAACACTGTTGTTGTTGCTACTTTTTCCCTGGTAAAAGGGCATCAATCCGGCCCGCAATCTTGTACATCCCAATAAATTGGACTTAGCTTCTACAACATGTATCTATCGATAGGAAGCAAGATGTGCGAGAGAAAAACTTGCAAAGAAATGGATTAGCATATAGCATCTTCTATAAAAAATATGCACGCAACACACGAACCACGGTTACATAATCAGTATACGATTACTGCTAGTGTATAATATGCAATGTGTTATATATATCACAAATTCGCTAACTTTAACATTGCTCGGAAGGATATGTCGTCAGCTACCTTTTCACCTGTAAATCAACACAAAAATCAAAAGAAAAAACATAGCTATATTTCTATAAATATTATCTCAGACATATGGTAACCATGTGCAAGTTCAAACAGGTGGATCGAGGTGGGATAATTAGAACTGGGCAGAGAAAAGGGCCATGTTGCAAATGTTTATTCTGTTGCTCTAGCAGGAGTAACATACATGAGACAAACTCTTTTTCCCAAGGGTTAGAAGAACAATACACATCCATGCCGACGGCAGCCACCCATGTGCACCGTCTCCAATCGGGAAATCATGTGTGCGTCCCATATCCACTGCAACGCTGCCCCATAGAATACCACACGGCTCGGCTGGAGCAGGTGCGCCTACTGGAATATCATGCACACCGAGCAGGTGGCCTACTCCCAGTATTGCAGCCATGTTGATCTTTCCCCATGCAACATAGTTTTATTGCCTTTATCAATATGTATGAGACTTGAGACAGTACCTTGTCTCTTCCTCCCGTGATCCCATCATCCTTTGCGATTGGGTCTGCGTCTGGTTTTGCCTATGAATAGGAATATGATGAGCATAGACAACCGGTGGCTTCTCAGGAGGGCCGTGCAGCTATGGCGAGCTGGCCGAGGTGAAGAGCCTAACAAACAGCTTGAAGGAACAATGGAAGAAGATATTGAATGACAGTTTCACGGACGTTAGTAAGATCGTGAAGCGGACAGGTAGGAGGAATAGCACAGCCATGGAGAGGACCTATAAAACCGTAGAACATTCGCTGCTCCATTCTTAATGAAGTGTGCTCTCCAACTCAAAAAAATGTAGCATACTCAGCGAGGAGTGCTCTTTTTAGCGTAAAAACAGGAGCGCAGGCCTATACATCCTTGGCTTACCAAAGCGTAGGCAGGGATGACTCCACTTTTACGCAGAATTAAAAATGTTATGAAGTGCGGATTAAGGTGGAATTTGTAGGAAATCTCTAATTAGATCTCAACCCATAAGTTAGATGCCCTAATCACCCATGATATTCCTAGTTTCTTCAGAGCTTATAAATATGCAAAAGACATGTGTGTTTTCACAGCAAGCATAGCAATTGCCCAATCCATATTATTTATATCTAACAAAACATTGTGAAAGGATAGCATTGAGGACAAACCTGAAACCTGAAATATCACAGAAAAGTAGGTAATGCGAAAATGACTAATCTCCTCAGCAACGATGCATGATATTCCATCAGCAACTTGTTTCCTTGGTCTGCATCTAAAATTTCCCACTGTATTATAACAGGTCAGTTGTAGGTAGAAGTGTATGTAATGAGCAGAATGTAATTCAAGAATTATTGGAAGCAGAAAATGAACTGCACATACAAATATCCAATTCCAGCAGGCCCCATGATGACCGATGTACAATGTTGGTCCAAGCTCTCGAACCAGAAGTGCGCCTCTTCTACCTATGCCCTTACGCAAGGGATATGTCGCCCCTTAGCTGCCTTCAATACCCATATCTGATGCCCAGGATTTCAAATCTTAAGAGTTCCATGCCATCTTGGTGGAACATATATGGAATAAACTCATTAGAAGATATTGAATCAAGCCCTTGATCCACCCCAGATTGCTTCTCTAATTGGGTGAAACCTCCAATTGTGCAATCGGTCCCTTGCAGAGACGTAGAGTTTTATCTCTTGTAAACCCAGCATTCTTGTTTAGCGACTGGCCTTTCCCTTTTTAACTTACCTTCATAGTGCGTCCACCCAGCAACCTCTCCGACGATGACGGCCCCTTAATCTTCTTCAACCATCCGTCCGTACACAATCTGTTCTGGTGCATCTAATATCCTGCCACTGACAATTGATTCACTGTTCTGGAAAAACATGGCGTTAGTTGAAACCAAGGGGATTTAAAGATTGGAAAGGAAATAGATCTGGGAGGTTAATGGGAGAAATTTCTTGGAGACTGGAGAGGAGACAGATCAGAGGAGGATATTAGGAGAAATTGCATCAAGATTTCAATTGCAGAGTGGAATTTTGAGTCATGGATGACATAGAAGGAGAACACGTTGAGGTGGCTGAACGACGCCAGAGATCGCTCCAGAACAACGACGATGTGGACGTAGGAAGGAAGAGGCAAAGCTCAGGCTTTTTTTTCTTTCAGAAGTCATTGGAAAGAGTTCGGCCAAAGAAACCTAGGCGTGAGTTTTTTCATCTAAGGGTTGTGGATAGCTAACGTGGGAGCTCCTTCTTTTTTTAGGATACGTGGGAGCTCCTTCAATTAGTAAATCTCGACCATAATAACTTGGTCCCACGAAAGATGAGCGGCTCCTAATTTCTAATTAACGTGGTAATTTTTTGGGAGTCTGTAATTAGTATAGGTATAGATAGATAGATAGATAGATAGATAGATATAGATAGATAGATAGATAGATAGATAGATATAGATATAGATATCTAAGGCAATGATCATGAACATAGGCATCACATCCGTGTGAAGTAGATCGAAATGATTCTGCATCTACTACTATTACTCCACACATCGACCGCTATCCAGCATGCATCTAGAGTATTAAGTTCATAAGAACAGAGTAACGCTTTGAACAAGATGACATGATGTAGAGGGATAAACTCAAGCAATATGATATAAACCCCATCTTTTTATCCTCGATGGCAACAATACAATGCGTGCCTTGCTGCCCCTACTGTCACTGGGAAAGGACACTGCAAGATTGAACCCAAAGCTAAGCACTTCTCCCATTGCAAGAAAGATCAATCTAGTAGGCCAAACTAAACTAATAATTCAAAGAGACT